GGAGAGAAGAGATCTGTTGGAGATAGAAAGCTAGATGGAAACAGAAAGCAAGACCAGGTTTTTTCATTCACTTGCAAATGGTAAAAGGAGGAAAAACACCATCTCTAGTGTGGAAGTGGAAGGGCAGGAGATAAGAGAGCCTCAGGAGATTGCAACGGTATTTATAAACCATTTTAAGACTCAGTTCTTAGTACAAAATGGGAATAGATTTGGCTTCTTGACATCAAATTGGAGTAAAATCTCGGAGTTACAGTCCAACATGCTAGAAAGAAGATTATCTCTGGGAGAAATTAAGGAAGCAACTTCTCAATTGATAGGTCCAAAGCCCCAGGGCTGGATGGCTTCTCTCTAGATTTTTACCAAGAATGTTGGGAGTTTCTAAAATCAGGTCTCTTGGAAGTCTTTGAACAATTCTTCTATAAAAGGGAGATCTCCTTTTGAGCTAATGCCACTTTTATCTCACTAGTGCCGAAGAAGAAGGAAGCAAAATCTCCAAAGGACTTCAGACCTAGAAGTTTGATTGGAAGCCTGTATAAGATCATTTCAAAAAGTTCTCTCTGAGAGGCTTAAGTGGGTCTTACTTTTAGTAATCTCATACTTCTAAGGGGCATTTGTGGAAGGTAGGCAGATTGTGGATCAAATCCTAGTGGCTAATGAATGTGTTGTTGAGAAAAGTAGGTAGAAAGGTTTGCTGTGTAAGTGGATCTAGAGAAAGCCTATGATTTAGTTGATTGGAGATTCTTGTCAGAAATTTTAGAGAGGCTTGGTTTTAGGGCTAGGATCTAGATGGAGAATGTGGATTGAAGGTTGCATGAGCTCACTCCACTATTCAACCCTTATTAATGGGGCTGCACGAGACTCCTCCCCAGCTAAGAGAAGAATAAGACGATCCTTCAAAAAAAGAGAGGAATAAGACAAGGGGACCCGTTGCCTCCTTTCCTATTCACCCAAGTGGCAGAGGTACTAAGCAGAATGGTTGTGGCCACAGATGCTCAGGGGTTCTTAAAGGGATGGAGAATTGGTAGAAATCAAATAGTTGTATCCCACCTTCAATTTGCTGATGATACAATTCTATTTTGTGAGGATGTTCAATTAGAAAGGGTGAGACAATTAAAGTTATTGATTGATAACTTTGTGAACATCTCAAGGTTGAGAATCAATTGGAATAAAAGTGGAGTTGCTAGAATTAACTTGGAAGAAGGGGAACTCGTAAGATTGGCGAAGGTGTTGGGTTGTAAGGTTAGAATTTAGAAATTGGCCCTTAACCTACATAGGTCTATCCTTGGGGGGAAAACCCTAGATCTAATGGTTTCTGAAATCCAGTGGTAGAGAGGTTTGCAAAGAAAATAGCTCTCCAGAAAGGAATTATATTTCCTTAGGAAGAAGAATCACTTTGATCAGAGCCACACTAGCAAACCATCCTATCTATTTCCTGTCCACTTTCCGTATCCCGTCTAGGATAGCTAGACAACTGCAGAAATTTATGAGGGACTTTCCATGGGAACCGGGAGAGGAAAAAAAGGACCATTTGGTTAAATGGGACAGGTCTGAAAACCAAAAGAGAATGAGGGCCTAGGATTAGGGAACATTGTACTTAGGAACACTACTTTGTCGGTGAAATGGTTGTGGAGATTTCCCTTTGAATGAGATAGGTTGTAGATCAATTCCCTGAACTTTTTGCCCTCTCCAACCTTAAAGGGGAAGTTGTATCAAAGATGGGCACAACCTCTCAATTGGGATTAAATTAGGACCTTGGCTTTTAGAAGAGGCTTAAGGGAAAACGTGTGTACCTCCTTGATCGACCTACTTGGCACCTTGGAGACAGCTTTTCTGGACCCTAACCATCAAGATTCTAGAATTTGGAAGATCTCCGTAGATGGACTCTTTACTTGCTCCTCCTTCAAGCATTTGGCCTTTCCTAGTTCTCAAGGGGTGGAATTTTTAGTGAAAGAAATCTAGTGTAAGCCAATCCCGTCAAAAATTCAAGCTTTCTGTGGGGAAATCTTCCTTGGAAAGGTAAATACATGTGACTTGTTAGTTGTTACAGAGAAGAAGACCCTTGTCTTGCCTTTCTCCTCATATGTGCTTCTTATATAGGGATAGTAGAGGGACCTTATCCCACTTATTAATCTCCTGCTCCTTTGCTCTGCATATCTGGGAGTTTTTCTATGATCTTTTTGGATACAGGTAGGACCCCCTCAAGAGGTGGTGGACATCTTCAAACCAAATTTCTTGAGGCAACCGAAGAAAAGAGGGAGAATAATGTGGAGAACTACTAAGGAAACAATTGCTTGGGTGATTTGGGAGGAGAGGAACAACAGATTTTTTACGGATAAGAGTTAGACTTTGGACGAGGTAATAAAAGCATAAAAATGATTGTTGCTTTTTGAGGGAAGACCTTGGATTGCTTTCAAAATTTCTCAGTAACTAGCATCCTTAGGGCTTGGAATGAGGTAGCACAGTCCTCTAGAAAAAAAATAAAAAAAATAAAAACAAGAAAGAAAGTAAGAATAAGAATGGTATAGAAACCAATAGAAGTCAACAAAGTTATACTATACTTTGATGAATGGAAGCTCACTGGGGAACCTTGGTCCAGCAGACATAGGTGGTGCAATCAGAAATATGGAGGGTAAAATCTTGGCTATCTATTCAGGACCAATAGGTATTGCAAACAATATGAAAGCTGAACTATTGGCACTGTTGCAAGGTCTACAGCTAGCAAAGCAACTGGGTTTTAGATAGGTGAAGGTGGAAGCAGATTCAAAAGTAATTATCTCATGGACAAGCAGTAACAGAAACATCCCTTGGACTCTCAAAAATGTTTTCAGGGTAGTAGAAGGGATAGTAAGGGATGTAAATGCTTAATTCAAGTGGGTAAGGAGGAGTGCGAATGGGCTTTGATATATGGGATGATTTGCTGTCATCATATTGTACTGATCTCTTTTAAACTACTTTAACAAAGTAACTTTCACTGATTAAAAAAAAAAAAATTTAACTGATCTGGGCCTAATAAATTCAGGCCCAACTTAGCAATAAAAACAAATAACATAAACAAGAATCAGCCCACAAACTTAAAAACAGGTTGGAAAGGAGAAGTTGAAAAGCAAAACATTTCCACCAAACCTTCGTAAAGTAAGGTGCATTCTCTTTTGATCCAACCTAAAAATTCAAAATACCAAAGCAATAAGCATCAAAAGAGACCAGAATTCAGTTGCTTGGTCGTTGCCAAATGATGAAAAAGTTGTGCTGCATGGACTCTTCTAAATGGATGAAGTACCCTTGTCACTTGTCAGGCTCCGACACTTCATAGATTCTTGAAGGAGACTTCTATGTGACATTTTTCTTTTTTTCCTCCTTGGTTATTCAACATAAATGAACAGTTGATATACACAATAAGTGTCATGTTTCCTATAAAATGTTATTAACAGTTTTATCTTTTAGACCTTTTTTATAGGTTTATAATGTTAAATTCAACAAAATATAGACTATTTTAATAGTTTGTATTTTTCTACAGACATCTGCACAAGTCATTGTTTCTTCCTTTTGCCAGGTCAGATTTCAGGACACACATCAGACTGTGATTCCCATATCACCCTATGGACTCGTTGTCACATATGGGCATGACTTTGGTGCTTGAAAGCCCAACCCACTGATGCATCACATGTGCACTGTGAAGCCCCCAAGGCCCACCCGCAGCACGTCTAGACACAGGACATTGCCACCACTATGACCTTAAGGTTTTGGTGTAGTGGTAAGCGCTTGATCCTAACAAAGACCATAAATTCAAAAGGTTGAAGTTACACAAATAAATCATCTGGAGAAAAGATCATAGAGTAATTATGTATTTTAGTTTATAAATATTAAAATAATATGACAACAATTAAACATGAAATTCTGATCAAGAGGGGCAGAAGCTTCTCATAGAAAGGCACAGATACGGTTACTGTATTAATCATATAAATCATTTAACAAAACCTTAGATCAAGGGAATAAGTGAATAACCGCCCTTTTTGAAAGATAGAGAATTATATTTAGTTGTAGCAGGGAGAAAAGATTAGCATATACATCATAACCCCTGTACACTAAGGCTCCCTACAAAAGGTTGGCTCTATATACCCACACAATATCTTAAACATCCTTCGGATTTCTTGAGTTGACAGCAAATAAAACTACCAGCCAATGGATAGAAACTCTGATAAAATGAACCTATGGAATATTTTGTGAGACATTCTTTTGGATGTATGAAATCTTTGTAGGGCCCATGAGTTCTGCAGCTACAGATATGTGGCCAAAGCCCGCAGTATTGGGTCATTTCACAGAGGCCTATTGGAACCTAATTATTGGCCTATAAGGACTACAAAGACCTAAATAAAGCAATAATTTATTTTTTCCCCAGCTTTGGGCTCTACATCCAAAACATAAAAACTCAGATCAACAATACTTGTTTACAAATATGGAAATACTGTCCTGTCATGTCAGTTGGGTCATATCAACAATCTATTCTCTTTTGACCTGCCCATCAAATCTTTTCTCAAGTAGCAGGAAAATAACCATTTCCAGGAACACCTAAATAGGTTTAAGCCAACACAAGATGTTTCAAAAATCTATACCACAGTTCAGATGTAACCAGTTAGATTCTGATCTCTAAAACTAGATGTATAAACTTATTTCATCTTTGTGACTTAAAAGTGAAAAGGTGAGCAGGTCAATCTCTTTCCTGAACAACAAAAGTCACAAGTCACAGCCAGAGTTTACTCATAAGGTCTGCAAAAACATGCTATCAAATTTGAAATGCATCCATACTTCTAAGTTCTAATATAGATCATTATTCTCATTGCTTTCAAACTAAGGAAAAAAAAGATGAAATGCATTTAACTAGTTGTACCTTAATATAGATCGTTATTCTCATTGCTTTCAAACTAAGGAAAAAATGATGAAACGAATTTAACTAGTTGTACCTTAAGGCCTTCATAAAGTTAAAAAAAAAAAAAAAATCAAACCTTCAGCCATTCAAAGAGGTTGTGTTCCACTTTAGCAACTGATACACCTTTCTTTTCAACAGGTAGCTCTGATGTTGTCATGTCTATAATAGATGCAAGCCCATCTTCCCTGCTCCAGACAATATCCCCCTGTTGTAGTAACAGTAAAGAATGATCTTCCATAACAACCAAGGCCCTAAACCCATGAGATCTGTCCGTCCGGATATAATTATTAATGAAAACCTTCTCAACAAACCCTTTCTTAGGATCGATCTCAATGCTTTCCTTGAGAAGATCAGTGCTCCAGTCATTATCAAGTTTCACTACAAGCTGAATCCTAGATCCTCCATGTTGAACCAATGCAAAAGCTTTTTGCCCTTCTGAGAATGAGAGAACATCACTAACTGCTGCTGGGTAAGTAATTTTCTGTACCACCTCTAACTTGTGTTCATCTGTCACACTTATAAATACAATAAAAGAATTAATTTTCATGGCAAATATCCCTGTAAGCCTTGCAGGCAGTATTGTTGCTACTCCAGCAGAATCCGCTACCAGATCTGAAATAAATGTCTGGTGAAAACTAGTCTCTCCATTCTGAAAACTTATTGACACCAAAATTGACCTGGTGGCATCCAATGCCACAACTGTGTCAGCAGAAACAAGCGACAGTTCCCCAGGAAAGCCACCAGGAAAAGCTGTGCTGGTATGCTTTAATAGCTCACCATTTTTTGCATCAATTTTGTAGGTGACAAACTTTGACGAACCAACAAATCCTAAAGCATGAATGATATCACTTTCAGGAGACTGGAGAATTTGCCGAATTTCAAAACTGCAAACAGAATGGAGAGAAAAAAAGGATCAAAACACAGTGATGTTAAGGAAATGAAGAACAATCTTCAATACCTTAAGATTTGTACTTCACTAACCTTTCAGTGGCCAACTCTTTCCTCCAAATAGTTTCACCATCAATGCTTGAAACAGCATGTAGACACCCTCCACCAAAAACAAGAACCATGTTTTCCTTGTCCATTTTAAAGTTTGTCTACAAGATTTGACTTACATTCACGTCAGATTATAGAGGAAAGTTTGTTAAAGCACAAATTCTTATAGGAAAATAAGTCAAGATAAGAGAAGGATATCAGAAAAGAAAACATAAAATGTCCGGTAGAAATATGGTGGAGGTAACAAGATGAAAGTTAGGTGGATATAAATGCGTGTGTGTGTGTGAGTGAGAGAGAGAGAGATGACTATAACATAGAATGTATCAACTAACCAGTATGGATAGCAATGAATTTGATGACGTTGAACCCCGAAGGAAAGTTTCCCATACCATTTGCCCATCAGGAAGGTTCCAAGCTCTCAAAATACTACCCTCTGATGAAAGGGTGATGACATCTTAAAAAAGTAAAAAAAAAAAAAAAAATCACTCAGATATTTAATTAGTTGTCACACGAGAATTTAATTAATAAAAGCTAGCATCATTATATGGCTAATGGAAGGAAGCAGAAAAGCGTAACTGTGACAATTAACATGGTGGTTAGTAGAATTCGTTGTTGGGTTTGGGGGTGTTATCTTAACACCTGCCTTTAGGTTGTATTCAGTATTTTCCTTTTTAATAAAATTTTTTGTTACTTATTAAAAAAAAAAAAGAAAACTACTGAAGATCTTGGCCAACTTCTATCATGTTTAGTGTGTGTTTCAATTTAAAATTTACTGGTCAGTGCAATTTATGAAAAGTATAAGCCATTGAGCATTTGAGAACAAATCCGGTTCATATGAAACAATTGTCAAGGAAGGCAGGCAGCAGTTTTTTTGCTTGGTCCTTTTTTTCTTAACAGGTTTAAGGGGCTTCGCGTCATGGCTAAAAAGAGGCCATTATGTTGGTTCCAACTATTTGGGGTATTGGGAGGGATTGACTAGATACAGACCTAATCTTTGGCATTTTCTGCACAAAATGGCCCCTCTCAGACTTGAACGCATGTTTTAACACTTATCAGCCACAGAGTTTTGTTGGGATTGTAAAAATTGGGGAAGGAAAGTTTTCTGTTTTAAAGGGGTCAGAGGGTTTCAGGGTTGTGGGTCTTGGGCCTTGAAATTTTTAAATTCGGGCATTCAAATATTGGGGTGATATCATGTCACCTTGTTGTAGTTTCTTTTTCTTCTAATAAAATTTCTTTTTTATTTATTACCAAAAAATGGCTAGGCAGCAGATATAACTAGGACCAGGGGTAACTCCCCCCCCCAGCGGAGACAAAAGTTTTGAAAACACCCCTCATATACATTGGGTTGATAGGAGGTTGCCTCATTCTAATAGAGTGGCCTCCCTAAAATATTTTTAAGGTTAATACATTGCCTCCCCCCAAGCTAGAATCCCTTCTGTCCTCTCTTTTTTTCCATCTGTGCTATACTAGTACATGTGCATCACTCACCACATATGAGGAATATTCTGTGAGACACCCACAAGTGGAAACCCACCTGGGCCTATACAACATTGCAGATGTCAGGTGGAGGCATGCTTATGAATCTAGAACAATTTATTTGGATAAATGTTTTAAAATGCAAAGGCAAAACGCAAGGCGTTCCACTAACCTAAGGCATGAGACATAAACCAGAATGCAAGAGACATGAACCTCTTGAGCATGGGTCTTTTAATAAATAATTAAAAATACATAGATAGATAAAATTATGAGAAATTGGAAATTTTCATATTTGCAATTTGTAATAATAAAACCATCACATTTAAATATAAAACCAAAGGATCATAACCTGTAATTATATAAGTATAATCAGCTATTAATACATCAATTGCAAAGTTGCAAATCAAATTTTCAAAATTAACAAATCACATGAATTGCATAATATTAACATAAAAGGGTTGTCATCTCATATTCAAATGAATGCAAAGCACAGAAAGCAATCAAAGCAGTGGTGCTACTTCTATTTATAGCATTTTTTAAGAGGTGAAAGTGAAATTTCATTAAGAATGAAGAAGGATAATCCAAGGGAGGGGTTCCCTTTGTACAAAGGCATACAAAACAAGTTTGGAGGGTTTTCTTCATTTTGTATTATATTAATATGTAATGGGGACACAATGAAATGGTTCCCCCACTTCTATTTATAATATTTTATGAAAAAAAAAAGGCTTAAAAGATAAGGGCATATGAAGCATATACCTCCTGCATAAAGAGCAATAGAGGCAGACACCTCATTCTAAGCGCCTCTAGGCTAGGTGCATACATCTCACGTTTATCTGTGCCTCTCCTGTATACCTCCATGCATTTTCTTAGCATAGCCTTTGACTAGTTCCCTTTAAAACACGAATTTGGATGAGTTGGAATTTCTTGGGCTCTCCAAAAGATAAGGCATAGTAGTTCATGTATTAACATTTTAACACTGGGGAAGGGTAGAAAAATCCTTTGGAAAAGTTTATTCCAACCATGTTGATGATCTCCTAAATTCTATGACATGTATCACCAGTTGCATCCTTGTACCAATAACACTTTACCAAGGTTGTTTGTTAGATCTTATATTCTTAAGCATTTGAAAGAGAAGGCATGAAACACCATCTTAGGAGGTAGTTATAGATTCCATCCCTTGCTGCATGGAAATTGAACTACCAGGCTCCTCATATCAAAATGACATTAAGATGATTTTATTTGTTATAGATATAATTGCACAAAAGAATGAAGAAAATGAGAAGATTGAATCATTGGCAGCAACATACAACACTAATTTTGTAAATGTTGTTGTCTTGATTTTTTCTGTACAATTAATATGGAATATCATAGATGTTGTTCACAATATTTTCTTAGAGAATGTTGTTCACAATATTCTCCTTTTTTTATTTGCCACTTTTGTCATGAGACCTTAGGATATGTATGACTGTCCTATTCCCTCCATATCTATTTCAAATATTTATAAAAGACCAATTTAGAAGAAAAGGTAAAACAAATGTTCTCAAGAACTAAAACCAAAATGTATTTAGCATGAACGATCAGACACCATCATCCCCCCCCCACACACACACACAGAAGAGAGTAATTACATTTTCCAAGGGCGATATCAATTCCATCCACAGCATCATTAGCACCGAGAACATGCCTCCAAACTGCATTTAGCAAAAAAAAAAGCCAAGAAAACCTCAATGAATCTTTTTCCTTAATAAAAATAAGCATCAAATATGATGAACATCGAAACCAACGTAGATTCGTATGAAACTACATTGAGAAAAATACCATAAACGACAAATTTGCAAACTATCATAATTTTCATGGTGGAATAGGCAAATATAAGCTTACATATGTCCCCCGTACGGAGATCGAGTGAAGCAATAGCATTCTCCTCTGTAGAGACTACAACACGCTTTCTTCCCGCCCTTTGAGTGTGGAAAACTGCGTGCTTTACTTTTCCTATGTACTGTTGATGCCTGCAAATCCAAATCAACAAGGTAATCAAAAATTAAGATGTTCGATTTGTTGATTAAGCAATTAAAAAAGATCGAGCTTTCATTCTACAATTTTGGATAATCACTTATTCGTGGAGGAAAGGAAAAGGCAAAACGTTCGCAAACTAACAGAGCTCGAATACTAACATAAATTCACCCAAATGCAACAGAAAATCAAGAGCGGAAGACCCGAAGACTTTGTAATTTTTCGAAGACAAATAGAGAGAAGTAAAATTTACTGAAAACTATAAGTAAAATCAAATTAAGCAAACAACATACAGAAAAGAGATATCAAATAAGAAAAGATAAGAGAAAGAGAGAGGACGAACCAATCCATGAGTCCTACTTGATCTTCATATAAGGCAGAGCTAAAGTTTGCATAGAGGAAGAGTAAAGTAAGAAGCAGAAAAACCCTAACCGCCATGGCCATGTCGATTGGCTCTCAATGACTGAGAACAGAGTGACAGATCCGTGAAGCTGAGTATGAAGATACACTACAAGGTCCACATACGAATGGAAGTATGGAACTATGAACAAGGTTTCCAAAACTGCGGAATGTCCCAAGTGAAGAGAAAAGGGAATGTAACAAGAGTTTATGCTATGACGTACATAAACCCACCGATGGGGTGACCCCAGGCTGAACGGACGGCAATGGGCTCTTCGAGGTCAAACTTACATGTTATTCGCTACTGTCCTTTGCAACTTTACATCGTAGTACACGACGTGAGTGTTAAATCATGGTGTGTTTAAACGGAATCCATCCGCCTTCGTTTTTTTTATTAATTGCTGAAACCCTCCCCTGAAGCTTCTGACCGCAGCTGAACAGCTGAAACCTCCCTGATGGTAATTGCAATAACCCCCAAAATTTTATAACACAATCCTATGTAAGAATCTTCTAATAAAAGCCATGAAATGTCCACGATACCCATTCAGTTATTATTGAGGCTAGTTTATATGTAAAAAACACAAATAAACTATATGAATAACAAAAAAAAGAGATAATTTAAAGTTGCATCTTTAATTTGGAGTGTTTATATGAAGGTCAAATTTGGAAAACAAATCAATTTCATAAAGAAAATTGAAAGGGCTTGGAACTATGATTCATATGACGACAAAATTTGGAAAATAAACACTTTTGTCAAAAGTCTCTATAGGTATTTTAGGCATATTAAAGGGGTGATTGTAATTATCAAACTTTATGAGAGGTTTCAACAACAACTAGAAACTTCATGGAGGTTTTAGCAATTTACCCTTTATTTTTCACTTTGGCTCAAGAGAGCTCGGATGGGTACCTCCACAAAGGGTGCCCCACATTCACATCCATGGTGCATTTAGAACATCTCCCCCTCATGGAAATCTATTTTCTCTCCTTTTATCACATATTTAGAGCTACTTTTGGGTTCATGCAAATGGTTTGGTTTATGATTCTATTATTTTTGGTTCTTCCACTCATCCATCTAAATGGATGAATTTATATCACATTCATTTTTTTACATGTTATTTCTAACTCGTTATACAAGGCTAAAACTAAAATGCAACATGTGCCTAAAATTTATATGATCCCTTTGTTAAATAAAGATAAAATCAATGTTTTAAAAGGCTAAAGGCAGAGGTGTGGCAATTATGTCTCATATGGGCGAGACATAAGCCTCAAGGCATTTTGAGGTATAAGCCTCATAAAATTAGGATCTTACATGGCATGTATGATATATTAGACATGGATTCATGGTTCAAAGTATCCATACACCCCGTTATGTTGAAAGGGATGCATTGAGTATCAACACTTTGAACCATGCATACCTTTTTATTTAGTTTATTCAATTGTACAATGTTAGTTTTATATTATTTAATTATTGATTTTTTTTTTAAATTACCTTAAAAAGGGGTACCAATACCCCAAAGATACATAATATAATTTGGGTTAGAATATTATCAAAGTAGTTTTTTACTTTTTTTTCCTATTTTCTTATTTTTCCTATATGAACAAACCCATGGAAATCAAACTTTTCAATTTAGGGATACGAACCAACATTGTTTTAAGAACAAGGCATTCCTACTTCATTTATTGCATTAATGTGTATTAATGAATAATGATCATCTATATGATGCATGTACTTTAGAAAAAATAGATTATTAAGTATGAGATAAATGGCCAAATGGGTAAGAATAAAGCAAGCTATTTTCTTACACATTTTATATGCATTTTTTGTTATTTGTATGTTTATTTATTTGCTCACTACACCAACATATATAAAACAACGCTTTTTTGTATAAATTTATGTTTGCCCCTTTACACCTTCATATTACACATTAACATGCTGAATAGTTAAGGCCTAAGCCTTGAACATTTTGAGGCCAAAGGCCTAAAGGCGTAAGCCTCAAACAACTAAAGGCCTAAGCCATGTTAGTGGGGTCTAAGGCTGTTGAGGTGAGGCCTTTTTTCCTATCCTTGCCTCATAGTATAGACCTTTTGGCATTGCCTCAAGAGCTTTTTAAAACAATGGATAAAATATATGGTTTAAATCTCTCTCTCTCTCTCTCTATATATATATATTATTCCCCTTTGATTTAGTGGGCAATACAACCGTAGTCCAATCTTCTGACTTTGTTGAGTTATAGCAAAATAAGGCACAAACTGAAGCAAAATAAATCAAAATTTGTAATTAAATCATTTGTACTCCTATACATCTGCATTACTGCAAATGAAAATGTATTAAAACAAACTAAACATCTCCTTAAATGTAGCAGGCCAGTTGATGTTGTCTAAAACGAACTGAATACGCAATAGATAAATCTTGCCAATTTGGATGAACTGAGGTGGAAAGACAGACTGATGCATCAAGCATAACTTGTAACCAAAGTGTAGTTAGAGGTCCCAAGGATTATGTTATCAAGGAAGGCACTCTGATACTCAAATTAGTAAGATATATGTAAAGGTTGATTGGGCTGGGCTATTAAAAACAGTCGGTCCAGGTTGATCAATAGATAAATCTTTTCCAATTTGGATGAACTGAGGTGGAAAGATGGACTTATGCATCAAGCATAACTTGCAATCAGAGTGTGGTTAGAGGTCCCGTGGATGAGGTTCTCAGGGAAGGCACTATGATGCTCAAGTTAGTAAGCTATATATAAAGGTTGGTTGGGTTGGGCTGTTGAAGATGAGTTGGTCTAAGTTGAGCAGGATTGAGGAAACAAGGAGACTAGATAGCAATAGATTGGAGAGAGTGTACCTTGAGGGAAGGTGCCTTTAAATAGTCGAATGTTGTAGCACACTTGAGCACATCCCTTGTGGGGCTTAAGGGATGAGACCTCCCACCGAGGTCTTCGAATGGCTCTGTGTTACTTAGAGGGAACACTTATTGGGGAAATAGTCAAATAGAGATCATGCATCACGCTTCCTTTCAAGGTTCTTGCTTGTTGGGTCATCCGTCAACTTTGGTGTGTGGTGTGCTGGTCCGTTGATGTGGTTCGAAGAGGTTAGTTAACTGCAAGACATGGCAACTTCAACCGATTGGGGTAAGACCCCAACAACAATATCATTGAAGCTCACAATAGCTATCATTAGAAGGTGTAATTTTGGAGTTCAAGTATGCTCCCAACAAAGCATGTTCCTACATGCTTCTAACATGATCTATAACCGCATGTCCCAAACATGTTTCATAGTAATTTTGGAAACGAGTTGGATCATGTTTGAGACGTGAAGTTGTAAATCATGTTGAAAGCATGATTTAACATGTTTTGTTGGGAGCATTTCCCAACTCCTAATATTAACATTATACTTCATTAATATATATTATTTTATTAAATATGTATTTAACCAGCTATTTTGTCGATCTAAAATCATTATATTAATTACCACGAGCAACCAATCTAGTTTGTCTATTTGCTCTACATTCAATACTGATTTAGGCTTATTAAGAAAAGGACCATGCTACTGTTGTGATTAATTAAATCTATATCTATACTATATATGAAAGTGAGGATGTAGAGCAGAAGTTTGTTTGGATTAAAACTACCTTTTATTTCTTTGTTTGAGAAAATATATAGAAGTCATTTTATTATAACTTTAATGACTACTAAAATGCCCATGTTTATGTATTTATTCCATCTATAATTGTAAGTGTTGAAAATATAACTTCAATTATTATTTTCCACCTCATTTAATTTCCTCTCATTAAGTCATATACTTTATTAGTTCTCATTTTCTCTTATTAAATCTTATATTTAAGTTATTTTCACTAATAAATGCTAATAATTAGATCTATGTTAATATTTTTAATGATATAAACCCATATATTTTAAAACTGACTAAAAAGCAAAATCATTATTTATCCAAGTGGTGGCTAAAAAATCAACCGTCCGAATCAAATTGATCAAACTATGAAGCCATAGTTAGGTAATAGATTTTTTAAAATATAAATAAATACACCAACTACAAAAATATAGAAAAAATTAGACACATTTATGATATTTTTATTAATAAAATTTAAAAATAAGTGTAATAAACAATAACTATTTTTATTGATAATGAAAATGAAATACAAAATCTAGACCTGACCAAAAATGAAATTATTTTGCTGTTTAGTAAAGATCAATAGTCCAACTTTTGGGTCAAATGTGTTAACCTTTAATTAATGTCATAAATAAATAATAAAAATTAATAAAATATAATAATATAAAAATGAAAAAATACATACATTTAAAAAAATCATTTAGGCACATGTATCGTATCATGTATTTATAATATCAAACAAAAAAGTAAGTGTGACATGTCAAATTTATTTTTACACATAAAAATAAAAAAAAAATAAAATATTGAACACATCTATAATTTTATATTTACAATGCTATTAAATATATTGTATGAATAAGAATGTAAATTGAACTATTACTTTTCACCTCATTTAATTCCCTCTATTTAAATCTTACATTTTTTTTTTGATAAATGAACAAAAAAAAAGATAAACCAAATAAATAAAACATCACAAAAAGAAGAGTCTAGCAAAGCAGTTAGGCTTATCAATGATATTTGAAACTTCACAGCTCCATCTGATTATCACATATTTGAATGATGTGTTTATGTAATCATATTTGAACTTTGCAATCTACATTTGATTAGTAATAAAAAACAAAAAATACATAAAGTTTATAGAAATTTTTTGATATATTATTGCTATCATTATTATTATATATAGAATTGCTACATTCAAAGCACGTGCATACTTACTAGTAACAAGAAAATGACATTTTGTTCTTTTTGCCATTCTTAATAAAGTTTCATTAAATTGTCTTAAACACCACTTGACTTGTGGGTGCTAAAATATTAATTCACAATGTGAAAGGTCCATTATTAAACCAAAACTCTATGCTCCTTTCTCATCATAAATCCATTTTACAATGTGAATGCTTTTATTTTCACTTGTTTTTTAAATTGCATCCAATAATAAGGAAGAGATGGTTAAGTTTAAAACTGTCATCCCTGTTAAGAGATACAAGAGCTCAAATGTTACATTTGTTTTTCTAAGATACCATGATTTGGTAGAATTTGAGGAATTAATCCAAAAAAAAAATATGTGTATTTTTTCTATCTATTA